CCAGGAGGAGGCAGGAGAAGAGGGAGGGTAAGTTGCTTCCTCCCTGTCTCTTCCCACCCCTGCCTGCCTGGGGCCAGGGAGGGCCTTTGCGGGGCTTCCTTGCACTCCCGCCGGCCTTGCAGGTCCACTGCCAAAGTATGGCTTTTTAAAGCCGCACCAAAAGAGACACGCGGCGGCGGGATCAGACAGATCCCATGAGCCGCCGCGCAGTTGCTCTCCGGCACGATCAGATGCTGGGGCGAAGCCACGGAAGGGAGCGCGAGGCAGCCGGTTGTGCATGAGTGCGCATGCACAGTTCGGCTGGGAGCCTCGAATGCTCCTGAAGACGGGTGCTCCGGCGATCCGACGGCTGCGCTTGCTGCGGCGTTTCCAGTAGGTGCTACCTTTTTGTTGGGTTTTTTTACTGCGCGGTTTAGGCCTGAAGGGACAGATCGGGGACGGGTGCGCGCCGATTCCCAGATGTTGCAGTGGGATCGTGCCCGTTTGCTGCGCCCCCGATCCATCCCTCTTTTGGGTCAAAACCTCCCGTGTGACCGGGGCCATAGTAGAGCAAAAGGACAGGGCTTCCTTTCACCCAGTTTCCCCATAATGTTTTGCTAAGTACCTATTCCCACCTGCCAAGGAATAGGTCCAACTCTTCCTCCCTGACTGCTCCTGGGCACAAATTTTAAAAGCTTCCCCAAGGGAGGGACAACCCTCCCTTGAGTCTCCGTGCCAGGGTGCCCTCTGGTAGAAATTTGGCTGGGTTGGCTTCTGCTGCTGAGTACGCTGCTGAGAGCCAGCTGGGCTCCTTCAAGCTTGCTGACTCCTGACTAGACTCAGTCAAGGCCTGCGGCAACCTGGCAGACAATTTCCCCAACTTCAAGGCTTGCTGCTGCAGCGTACCTTTCATAGGGGTTGCAGTCCTCTGGGGTAAGTGTGGGGGTGGAGGTGCCAACCCCAGACATTAACTTCAAGCAATAATAGATCCCGTCAAGAATTGTGTTAAGGGTGTACCTTTTTAAAAAAGTAAAATATGACATCAACATTGTCACCAACAATGAAAAAAACCACTACATAATATGTGATTTCCTCTTCATCCATTGACAAAAGTTTAACATTTCTCTACTTTTCAGAGTCACAAGTTTTCCAGAAAGCCTAACCATTTAGCAGTCCATGGCCTGAAAACCTCACAAATGAGAAATTCCACTGTCGTAAACAGACTTCTCAGGAGTAAACATGTTTAGCTTAAATTACATTCAGAGAAATGAATTATGGATAGGTTTTCACAATTAAAAATCTGCATTTCGCTTCCTGCCTCTAATTAATCTAATTCTACAGGACATAATTATGTTTCAGATCCAAGTAGAAAATAAGAAACCATGGTATACAGAGTTCAAACTTTGTTTGAAGCCCTGCTTTAGTTGAATAATTTTGTTGATTTACATTACTGAGGTCCAAGATGTACTTCAGTTTGACTAATACCAATTGTATGTGCACAAAACCACTTCTGGGTTGTGTTGTTTGTGCAAAAAAAAAAAATAGTCTGTTCCATCATTCCTGTCCTTCGCTTCTCATAGACCTTGATTTCATGAACAGACCCATTAAACTAATTGTGTACTATGTTCATAAGGGAACACCACACTACAAGACTGAACTTTCTTTATATACCTAAAGTAGTATAACTGTGCCAAGTTTCTCATTCTTCTGAAAGATCTTTGGAATTTTTTTTTATTCATTAAAATGAGGTCACACTTCACAGAAGTACACAGTGTGTTATCTATCTTTCTTTAAATAAATTGGAGTCAAATGTCGGCATAATGAAATATGTAGTGGAAGGGGGTTTTGACAGTCATGTTTACCAACACAGCACTATTTCTCTACAGCAGCTTAAAAAAAAAAAAGTTCCAGGTTTTAATTACCTTTCAGAGCCACACTTCAAATCATTCCTCCATTAGTGCTGTATTTTATGCATATGTGGAACCTTTTCTGAAGTCTAGCATTGCCCTTGAATACTGATAGTTAAATATGGGATGTTATTCGTGTAGGAAATAATTTGATGGACATGATCCCTCATGACTTTTTTATTTCTAATATACAGCCATTAATGATGTTCCAAGTATTAATAAGAAAATCTTCAGACAGAACAAAAATATTTGGACAGTCCCAGAGAATTCAGTTGCTCTCAGTCTTACAATGACACTTCAATAATTACTACACAATCTCATATTTTGCAAAAGGTAAAATAAATGTATTTGTTCAAAATAAAGGTGAGAGAGACAAATATTAAGCTACAAGCCCAATAACTGCCATTACTGTTGCTAAGCACATTACCTGCATCTGAGAGCTGGTGTTTGCCACTTAGCACCACATAAGAATGGTAGGCTATTCCTTCAGAAATGGATATGGCGGAACACCGAGATGAGACCTTCTGGCATAAAATTAAACACAACTTTTATTCACAGACTGCAACTCTGTTTCAAGCAGAGTAATAAAGTTAATTGGTCCACAGCAGACACAGCGATACCTTTGTATTCTGAGAAAAAGAGAACTGTGTAACTCTTAACACAGGGCTATACAACACATTTCTGTGGGTTTAGGTTGAACATAGAGTGGGTACTCAGCTGGGTTTAGAGCAGGTAGATTCAAAGAATGGGAAGCATTGCAGCCATCTGTTTTTGTGCTGGGCAGTAAAGCTTGCTACCATATACCGTATAAAAGAAAGAAAGCAAAACAAGGAATTGAGAATGGAAGCTGCTATCAGCAGTGATGGCTCAAACTAATGGCAGAACAGCTACGAGCCTATGTCATATGGTGAGTCAGCCAGCCAGATGTGAGCTTTCTTATATGAAGCCACATGCATAGCCCTGATTCTGAGTAAAACCTCTAAAACATGACATTTGACCTGTGGGCCGCAGTCACTGTTCTGCTTATGAAAAAAGATGGAGAAGACACAAAAAGGCTATGCTGAGCATCATGGGACCTTCAGGTACAAGAGCCATGACTGAGTTAAAATGGTGACTGGATTGAACCCATTTTACAGCTTTGTTTTCTGTCTCCATATTTGCATGGCAAGTCAATTGTGTGATTTATTTTTTTAGTTGTTCAGAGTTCCTAAACGGCTGTAGAAATCAAATCACAGCACCTATATGACACCAGCTCAATTCAGTTGCATCACTGTTTCTCCCAAGTAAGGCTTGTATTATATTTGTTGTAGAGAAAATCAGAAGCCTTCTTCTATTTTATGTATGTTCTTTCTTTTTCTTTTTTCTTTCTTTTATTTTCTCAATAAAAATTAAAATTGCCAAATAAGGTTTACATTAAAATTCATTTTACTGTTGTCCCAAGAGCTCAAAACTAGGGCAACAAAAATTCCTAAATCCCAATTCCCAAGTATAGTAGATTGCATGGAGACTACCTGCATTTATGCAGAAGAAAACTGCACCTACAATGAGTGAATATGTATATTTAATATTTCCTTTCTAAATAATAGAAACACATTTACCTGAAAAGCCTTACTGTATGAGATATTTTTTAAGGCTGGGAGTTCAGAAAACATTTTAGCAAGTCTCTCTATGCATTTCTTTCCCATGGTTCAATGTAATCCAAGCCAAGGTGTGCAAAAATTTCTTCCTCATTCACAGCATTCAGAAATATTCTCTGTAAGGATTAGAAAAAGATCAATATAAGTCAGGGGAGGAACTTAATTTAAAAACAAAAGAAATATCTGTAGCTTTTATAGAGAGGCTAGCAGTCTTGATCTTATTAGGAATATAGAAAACTCTATCAAGAAAAACAATCCTTAGGGTGTGGTCAGATGAGCTTTTAGATCTGATATTGTTGCTGTTGACCTGCAAATTTAAAAGGCACATTCAGACAGTGACATCTGTATCCTGTTCCCCAGTTGTTGGCTCCCCATTCTCATCCTTCTCCATTTCAGAGTTTTTTGATACTGGGGAAAGTTCGATCTTTATGGATTCACTCCGTATTTCCAGATGTCTGATCACTCCACCGCAAACTCAAGCCATTTGGGAAGTCTGATCATTACCTTCTGTTCTTGCTTCCTTTTTTTAAAAAAAATCAGTTAGCAATATGCACATAATTGAATATTCACATCAGGGTTGTGATTCGCCCCTTGAGTGTTTAAGTGCCCAAACACTTTAATTGGATAGGGAGCCCCGGGGGGGGGGGTTGTTTTTGTGCAAAAAAACCTTTCTCCTGCTTGGGACAATGATGTAAATAGTCCCCAGTTAGGCTCCAATGCTGGCGGCCATGATATGATCCCTGGAACTTTTTTCTCCAAGCCACATCATACTTTTATTCAGACAGGAAAGTTTTAAAATTGTCAAAATGCCTGGTGTGCATGGAGTTTCATGGTGACAAAAGGAGACTCTGGATTTATTAGCTATCTGGAGAGAGAGAAAACAATAAAATGGAAAAAAAATCGAATACACGTTTCGAATACACGTTTATGTGCATGTGTGAATGGGGAAAAAATTAAAAGCCCAACTGCTTGCTATGTGGTTGCCGTGCAGCAATAATCTGAATGGTCAACCATGGGATGAGCGTGCGGTGAAGCCTGTAACAGGGGATATGTCTGATCGAAACTCTCCAGCACAAAAAAAATTGGATATTATTAGAGATGCAATGTGAACCCGGAAAGTACAACGTCTGACTGCAACCATCAAGAAATAACCTAATTATGTATGGTGCATGCAGAAAAGTAAATACCTTAGAATCGTTTTAAAAAATCTCTCTAGGTGTTGTCCCCTTATCTCTGATGACAAATGTATGCACTACATGCGTGAACGCTGACATGACCTCAACTATACTTGATGCCAAGTAGTTATTTTCCAAATGATTTCTATCCATAAATTGTAATGCTTTATTTTTCATTCTAGCTTCAGTGATCAATAAGTAAGTGAAGTGTGAAGTGAACAATCTTAGTTAACATTTTCATCAATAAATCTTTCCTAGAGCACCAAGATCATATTTCTGAACATTTTAAACTCATAATTTGCTTTTAACTAATTTTCTTAATATTATAAATGTTCCTTTTCCAAAATGATTGATATAAAAGAGAATCCTGATCCACTTGTTAATTATTTTCCTTGTTCAATGTTCTTGGGAAAGAGTGACAAAGAGAAACAAAAGTTCTGGAAAGTCAAATGACCAGTGGTATTTTGCCAGTATATTTAGGCATCTAATCCCAGAAGCATTAACTGCAATACACACTGTTTTTGCCTGACAGCCCTACAATTATTACCTGACATGAAATACATGACATTAACTGAGAACAATTTTCTTCCTAACCCACAAAAACTTAAGGAACTAGGAACAAAGCAACCTCTCTCATCCAATTTGGTTTTGTTGTTCTTTTTCATCTATCACTATTTCAAGGACAGACATCTCTGAATTTACAGTTCTAAAAACCCACAGCTGAGAAGAAGAGTAAAAACTGGTGGAGACAGGGAGAGAGAGAATTTTGAAGTCTCTAATTTAAAATCTCAGATGGAAACCGACTTGGGAGGGGCCATGGCTCAGTGGTAGCACACCTGTTTGGCATGCAGAAATAACCAGGTTCAATCCTTGGCATCAGGCAGTCGGTGATGTGAAAGGCTTCTGCCTGAGACCCTGGAGAACCATTGCCAGTTTGACTAGACAATACTAACATTGATAAACTGATGATCTGATTCTGTGTATAAGGTGTGTTCATGTGTTCAGCATTAGCATGGAGTAATAAACCTGCCCTCTTCTCCAATTCATTGTAAAATAATTTCAGTGCTAGGGAATGGGGCATTTTTTAAACTTCTGTTTTATCATCCAAAGTTACACGTATTTCTCAAACTAGAAAACCATCCTTTATTCATCTGACAGTGAATATCTAGACTACACGCTACTCAAGTCACAGCTGCCAAAGTCATGATTGCTATTCTGGATTTTCTATGCTGGACAGGAAAGCTATTTCTTTTATATGGTATGCCTTTGGGGAGCCACTAGGCCTATGAAAAGTGATGACATGGGTAGTAAATGTCAACAGCAGGCCATCTGCATATTTGGATGTATTTCACTGAAGCTTGTTTCACTCATATCCAGCCATTTCAATGCAGAAACAAATACAAACATGTTCCAAAATCCATTTTAAGGTACCTTTTTGAGGCTAATGTGCACATATTCATGAATCTGCATATTTTCACAATGCAGGAGAATAATCTGCATTATATTGCATCAGAATGAGGTTTAGGAGAATGGCTAGATATGATCATCTCAGCACATGTTAATTAGCACCAGAAATGGTTTGAATCCAGAAAGCCAATGAAGCGGGGCATCCAAGGCTGAACAAACTTAGGAAAACTGAAAAATGACCCCTGCTGTGAAACAGCTGGGGGAGGGGTTGGAAGGAATCTTGAAACGGTCAGATTACAGCATGGAAGGAAAAGGGGATCAAGCAATTCAATGAGTTTAAGTAACCAAAGGAAGGCTCATACAAGCAGCCTATGCAAAAAACCTTTAGCTAATTGAAGCTGGGCCACTGCTTTTACCAGTGCAAGGACACTGAGAGGCCAAATCCTAACCATAAATCAAAGACTTATTAATGGGGGTGCAGTATTAAGATGTGATGGTGGGAATTAGATTAAGCATCATGGAGGATCAGTTAATCACCAGATATTAGCTATGTATTAGAGCTCCATGTTAAGAGACCAAATACCAGCTACTGGGGATAATCAGCATGACTTCTGGGATTGTTGGAGGCATCTGGCTGGTCACTATTAGAAACAGTGACCAACCAGAACTAGATGAACCTTTGATCTGATGCAGCAAGTTTCATCCTGTGTCCTTCTAGCATCTGTGATGGACTGCACTTTTTAAGAGGCTTAGAAGTGCTGTACCAACAACTAAAGCATTGTGAAGGGTTAATTCTTCCCAAAGCCAGAGAACCTTGAGTGACAGGCTGCTCTAAGCAAACTGATTGGTTGACATCAGCTGAGCAGAAAACATCTTGAGAGAGCTGGGTGCTGAGGAGAGTCAGTCAGATTCCTGTCTTAACTGAGAAGAGATGTGTACTGAGCCCATCTGAGAATAGCCCTGGCAGAAAAAGGGTTTAGTGCTGACAGAGTCAGATTTCAGCCTTGACTGAACACAGTCTGAATTCAGCATTATCTGAGAGCAGTTTGAACATAGAAAATTGGGGGAAAGTTTGGCAAGGAAGTTTGGGTATTAGAGAAGACTCTCATTCAGGCCGAAGGAAAGGGGATATGTTCTCTACCCAGTCAAAAAGGGAGAGTTATCTCTGAGGAGTACAGAATTCCTTGGTCTGGTGTGAATAGAAACTGCCTGTAGACACCTTAAAAGTCAGTGAACAACTCAAGAAGGCTACTGGTCTTTCAAGAGAAGGGAGATGGGTACTGGGAAGAGGGTACCAGCTTTCTGGACACCAAAAGAGTCAGCAATTACTCAAATAAAGTGAATTAGAGTGCTTGGGAAACACTGGAGCAAAAGCCTCTCAATATAAAGATCTAAGTAACTGTGAATAATTTAAGAACCTCTCATTAGCCTGATATGATATACAAGAACAAAAGTCTGCGCTTGTACTAGTTTTACCTCAGTAATTTCAACCCTTGATTTCACCTGACCTTTCCCTTTGATGTTAAATAAAACCTTTTGTTATTTTTGAATTTTAAAAGCATCTCGAATGTCATTTTCAAGGGTTTTAGTTAAAGGGTGATCCTATTCCTTTCCTCAGTTTCCTGGACTGAGCAAATAGCCAAAACATGTCTTACATTATGTTTATATTGTTTATATTGTATGCTGTTTTTCAGACCATAATAATAATAAAACGAATTATCTTACTGATAGGGTGGGACAGCCAGAGTTTCTTCAGGGGAGAAGAAAACATGTTACCAGGGCTGCTTAGTCAGTGAAGGGACAGAAAGAAAATGTTGCCTCTGAGTTAGGGAAGTGGGCGGGGTGTGTCATAGCATCATTCTTCACTTTTACTCTTTAAACTTTCACTAATGCAAGAGGGTTGTATCAGGGTAAGGGTTCAAAAACTAAGTTATATTGTTCTATCATTGTAACAGTATAAGGTTATATATTGCCAAACCAAATCTGAATAAAAACCTAGTGAGAAATTGTGCTGCTTGGGTTCAAAAAAGTATCATTGATATTTTTTCTGCATTATTTAAGATCTAGTTTTCCAGATCGGTCAAATTCCCAACATGAATCTGTCACTTATATGAACTGTTAAGACTGTGCAAGTTCGAAGAAGGAGGAGGCTGGATTTATACCCCGCCCTTCACTACCCGAAGAAGTCTCAGAGCAGCTTACAATCTCCTTTCCCTTTCCCTCCCCACAACAGACACCCTATGAGGTAGGTGGGGCTGAGACAGCTCTTTCAAGAACTGCTCTTAGAGAACAGCTCTGAAATAACTTGTTACTGACCTAAGATCACCCAGCAGCTGCAAGGGAAGGAGTGAGGAATCAAACCTGGTACACCACACTGGCTCTCTGTGTTACGCCTTTACCCACTGGAGAATGGGTAGCCCTCTTAAGCCCATGCGTCTGTAGCTGTGGATCAACTCTGCATGCAGTATATGATCTAGGCATAATCCTCCAATCTTTTGCAGGAACTTTTTAGACTATCAATTTATGGTGAATTA